CTGATTATTTCAGTGTGTTGTACACAATTCCATCAACCATTCGTTCTGAAGTAGTGAATAATTTCTGTTTATTCAATATTTATATAAATAAAAAACCAATGGCGATTTCTCTCTTTTCTTGCTAAAGTCATAATTCAAAAAGTTTAAATTCAAGAAATGAGTAACTTTTAATTATGGCTAAAAGATTTCTCTCTCTCGATTACTATTGGTTACAGAAGTTATGTATCTATTATTTTTTATTTTTCATTGCCTTTTCACGATTTATATAAGTGCAGTGTTAATTAGTTATAGTAAAATAAGTTAATAATAATTTTATTGCGGTTTAAATAGTATTTATATATGATAGAAATAATTTTGTCCTTCAACGACATGATTAGGAACGCCACTGTTACTAAGTGTTTAATATTTGAAAATTACCCACAGAAAATTGTTCTAGAGGAAAAGATGAAATTCATGTGGTTAAAAAGTATTTTATGACTACTAACTTGCAAGATTAAAAATATTTGGTTTGATAATTAAGATTAGAAACGTTTGGAGATCTTGTGATAAAGACCCTAAGATTATACACATTCTGAGGTGTTCAGAAATGTGCACTCGGAGTAACGCGTTCCGAGATCTGTCGATCTCCGAGGACTAAGCGTAGACGCGTTCCGAGATCTGGCGTTCCCCGAGACCTAAGCGTAGACGCGTTCCGAGATCTGGTGATCTCCGAGACCTAAGCGTAGACACGTTCAGGGATTTAGGGACAAGACAATTCTTGAGATAGTTGTCGATCTTCTAACAAAATTCCCTAATGTTAGACATGTTCAGAAACTGGACAAGTCCTCTCAGTGTAGACATTCGGGAACCTTTTGACAAGTTCATTAAGGGTAGATCCGTTCGGATATTGTGACAGGTCCCACCAGAATAGACCCATACGGTCAAATTGGTCTCCTCACCGTAGATACGTACAGTGTAAATCCACTAAAATTAGTCATGTTCTAAGATACCCTAAAATACAGAGATCATGTGATAAGTCTCGTTTGGAGATATTCTTAGTCGCCCCCGCCCCCGTCATAAACAAGTTCAGAGATCTAAGTCCACTGCATGTAGATATGTTCAAATATCTTGTAACAAGTAACTTAAGTGTAGAGACCTTGTGATAGGTCACTTAAAATAAAGATGTTAAATTTTGTGACACGTGAGATGGCCTTGTGACAAATCCTCTAAATTTAGACACTTTGAAATTATGTGATACTTCGCCTAAGAGTAAACGAGTCGGAGAACTTTTGAAACGTCTCCACAGAGTAAACATAAATGAAGACTCGATCGATGTTCTTGTGCCATTTTTCTTAATGTAGACACTACGAAAGTCTTCGCCTCCGAGTAGACATGTTCGGAAGATCTTGTGACAAGTACCTAAAAAGTATCTTGTAACGTCTCTTCAGAGTAAACATGTTAAGATTGCTTGCAATTCTGAGATCTCGGAGCTCGAGAAACCATGTCACCAAAAGTGCATACATTGAACTACCTTTGAAACCCTTACAAATTGGAAAGTGGAAAAATTAAAAATACGTTACTTTTTTAAAATCATTTCACCACAAGCAAATATTACCAGCAATACATTTTTTAAGATAAATATTACCAGCAATACATTTTTGTAAGAAAAAATATTAGCAGCAATAAAAATTTTCTCGGCATTAAATAACCCCTTGAGGTTGATATGCCGTAAAACAAACCAAGGCAAAGTGCAAAAACATCGTGACAAACTATTCTGTTTCAGAAATGCTTTGTCCTAGTTTTATTTGGTTTTTAATATTACAAAAATATAACTGAATTGATTTTCTCAATTACGAAGTAGTATCTCGTGTTCTTGCCACGTCCCTGGCCATACTGTTTTGGTTTATCAGTTTAGCAAACATGTACAATTGTGATCAATGAAAGAGTCGAACGTGTTTTTTAATTGGTATTCATTAGTAATAAGATACTACAGAACTATCCAAGGCATCTCCTACGTAGACCACATCACAAATGATGCGGTGTGAGATACACTGTCACCATGGGACAAGAATCAGGCCTATTAGTATATCATTACCACCGCGATGGAGAAAAAGATGAAATGGTATGGGCGTGTCATAAGAGCCAACACTCTTTCCTCTGTCAATCCTATAAGATAGCACATTAGGCAAAAGGAGGAGAGGCATACAGATGGGATATGGAATAGGTAGACTGGAAGATCATTCATCAAAGACACTGGCATGTAAACAACACATGTGAAGAGATCTCGTCAGGTGACCAGTTGCGCAGTGACCCTAAAGACTTATAATTATGTTGATTTTCGAGGCAAACCAATGACCTTTATATAGATATATCCAATTTACGAATTAATGTATGTGCCAAGTATATTTAGCAGTTGTCTATTTCATTAACAGCGTCTACAAGTGAAAATGCGATGTGATATCAGGCGTGGAAATGACGAACCGGGTTCGAGCTCTGGCTAAAGCCGTATATTCACATTGCACTAATACCCTTGAAAAAGGCTTGAATCCATCTTTCCTTTTGTTACTGACATGTCACGATGGTTGATGGCCAAAGAACATTTTACTTGTATAATAAATTCGTTTCTTACACGTCGAGGAGCTGAGCTGTACCAAGTCACTTAGTATGCCACAAAGACATAGATGCAAGGCCAACATGAAGTACGAAAATCTCCCTAAATCGTGCGACCAGTTGACCCACAATTTCCCATCAACGGACAAGCATGAACACATTCAGGATGAAAAGTCTGATGGTATCTACTATGTGTTGGGAAGGATATGCTATGCTATCTGTCTGGTGACTGGCTGAACATAGTGCCACTTGGTGAAATTTCTGTCATCGTATTGTTCAACGAGGTAGGGTGATTGGCTCTACTCCCAAACTTTCTACTCCTTTAGACGACCACATGAGTTGACCCCTACCCGGGTTATGAGATTGTTTTTCCTTCTCCTAGACTAGTTTTCAACCAAGGCTAGATAGCTCATTCTACCCTATTATATAACCCATAGCTGAGGGGTGGAGAAGAGATGGATTTATACGGTATTTACGCGAAAGCAACTCTACTGGAAGCCGAACTCAGATCACCGGTTTCTCATTCCAAGCAGCTACTAATTACACCCTCCGCAGGTGAATTACTGGTAATACTTTTGTTCAAAAATGTACTGCTGGTTATATATATATATATATAAAAACTATACTCGTCTCGAAAAACCTTCGAATTTTTGATTTGCCAATAATCAAATCAATCTCGAAGGAAAAAAAGGTTTTAAAAAAAGAAAGAACTAGGAACATGTGTCTGCCGAAAAAAATCGCACAGATACAGGTTCAAAGCCAAAAGAAAAAACCCCGACACGAGTAAACAATTAACTAAAAAGATCTCAATACAACCGTAGAGCAGACCTGACTATATATATATATATATATATATATATATATAATGTATTGCTGGTAATATTTTTACAAAAATGTATTGTTAGTATTAAAACCTATTTTTACACTTTCACAGTGTTTTGATCCCAGTTTGGGAGTTAACTATTTGCCCATAGCTGGGACCCTGACAGATTCTACCACCCCGGGTCAGGGTGGACCTGGGAACACCAGCAATTAAAAGGTGGTTCCACACTCTTCAAAACCTCCTGATTAGAGGCCTTGTTGTTCGATGTAGTTTATCGTCATACCTAGGCCCGGGGAATTATTTGTCGGTGCGTGCCGGTAATATAGATATGCATGATGAAAGAACATAAGTTTTTATTTTTTAAAAAAGCTCGCAGTAAAGCCAGCGAAGAAGAAAATAATTTGCAACGGTTTAGCTCAAGTTAAACAAAGATTATTGCGAATACCCTATCTTACGTGGTTTTGCAATTGGTTAGCAGAACAGGGATTAGGAAAGATGGGATAAAGACAAAAAATTCACTAAGAGTTACAAAAGACGGGAAATTGTGGAGAGCCATGATCACTTCCATCCTGAAGGGATACGGCACGTAGAAGAAAACTCGGAGTAATGTATTAATGTCCAAATCTGCACTTTAGTTTTAGGGTTACAAAAGGCGATCATCTCCCTTTGGTGGAGATGAATCATATTAGTCAGGTGACGGCCGCTTACTGACGTCATTTCATACAATGACGAAAGTGGCCAGTCAACCAGTTTATTCACAGCAGCTGTTGCTTTTTTTTTTTTTTTTTTTTTTAACCTGGACCAAGGGCCCTGGGTTGAGGCTAACTCTGCCTCCTCCAGTAAATGAGACAGTTTACAAGTTCATGGAGCTTTTTCCTTTTGGGAATATATCTTCCCCAGATATAGAAAGAAACTCCAGCTCGCAGTCCTCAATTTGGGAAAAAACTAAGACTCGCAGTTTCCCCTTCGTGAAATATGTCCTCGCCTTGAACATTATAGATGAATCTTGCCAGTTTGAATCTGGAGTCCTAAACATGGCTTCTCCATATTATTTCTTTTTGTTTCTCCTTACACTCTGTTTTGTTGATATATGTATTCCTTGCGTTCCCCCCCCCACACGTATATATATGTATATATAGTTTTGTGGTATAAAAGTCTCCCTGAAAACAAAACATGTTTGACATTGCTTTTCCTTTCAGCCATTCTGTTCTGTCCGTGAGTTACAGTGTTATGTCATTGATATAACGAGGAGGAGGGATGTGAATGGGAGAATAAATCTTTCTTCCATAGCTCTATCCTGTTATAATGGCTTGGTTGATTTGTTCTCTATGGTTTATCAATCCTTTATAGGTTATTTAGAGCCAGAAAAATATTATTAGATTGTAAGATTTTTTTGAGAGAGAGTGACAATAATGGTTTGGTGATACAAATCTAATTAACCCATAGCTGGGTGAGAAGAGGTTAATTCATTCCTTTCCCAAAGGTATCTGCGCGTAAGTGAAAATAACGAACCCCAATGGAATTGGAACTCTGCTCTCCGATTAACAATTCTTAGCCATCATCCATTACACCATTCGTACATCCAAACTTACAGCACCTGATATTCATAAGCGGTCACCCATCAAGGTAATAATCAGGCTTGGCATTGCTTAACTTCGTTGCTCGTGCGAGAACCGGTGTTTCAACGTGAAGTGGTCATAAGCCCGCTTTAGTTTAAGACGTACAGTCGTGGACAGATTTATTCACTTCCTCCACCCCACCGCCGTTTCCATAATTACAAATGTAGTTGTAACGTCTTAAGTTTTCATGGAAAATTCATGTGCATTTTTTCACAAATGATGAAATAATAGATTTGAAAGATTGTGCAGTGACAACAAAATTTTTATTTTAATGTCAAACAATAATACCAACATCATTTAACATAAAACAAAATTATTGGACCTCTTTCCCCAATAATCAATTGCGTAAAAATTATGCTTGATTATTGACTTTAATTGCTTTTGATAGTTTCTTAAAAGGTTACTACACACACTGATAGAAATTTTGCTCCATTTTTCCTTGGCAATAGATTCTACTTCATCCAAATTGGAAGGACTTCTTTCTCTTACTTTTTTCTTCAAATATGCCCGTAAATTTTCAATGGGGGTTTAGGTCAGAACTTTGTGCGGCGTATGTCAAAACCTTCATTTTGCTGTCATCTAAATATTTCGTAATAATTCGTGCTGTGTGTTTCAGGTCATTGTCATCTTGGAATAGCCAGTGACGCCCGAAAGACAACTTTAGTGAACTTTATATTATTTTAAAGAATAACCAAATACTACTCTTTCTCCCTCCATGATATCCTGTACTCTCACTAGTTGTCCTGGCCCAGAAGCAGCAAAACATCCCCAAAGTAGAATGCTCCCACCATTGTACTGAATTGTAGTGAGGGCATTTTTTTGGTTTGTGAGTTTCATTCACTTTCCTCCATAAAATATGGGAATTCATGTGGCCAAATAATTCTGGTTTGGTTTCATCTGGCCATAAGACAGTGTTCCAATATTTACTCCCATGTTCTAGATGGCTTCTAGCGTAAGCTAATCTGTATTTTAGGTGTTTAACCTTAAAGCAAGGAAGTTTTCCTTGGGGGACAAGCTCGAAGGCCTGCTCGATGAAAGCATCTTACGATTGTCTTCGTCGGTACATTCAACTCTAATGTCTTTACATCATTGAAAATGTCCTTTGTCGTTAAATTAGGATTTTTCGAGACGTCTCTAACAATTTTCCTTTCTATTCTTTGAGAAATTAACCCTTTTCTGTCAGATATTACTTTATTCTCAACACAATGAGCCTCGTTGTACTTCTTGATAATGCTAGGGATTGTCGATCTCGGAATATTTAAACGCTTGGAAAGTGTTTTATATCCATCCCCTTGTTTGTACGCAACAACTATCTTCATTTGGAGCTTCTTGTCAAATTCAGACGTCTTTGCCACGGTTGTAGAACGAAGTTATCATGGTACGTGGCACTAACATATTGTCTTTTTCATTATCTTTTCGAATGTTATAGAATCAGGTCAATACTATCAGGTCATCCCATAAGTTCTGTCTGAATTTTAACTTTTTGTTAAAATGAACGAAATTTAAAGAGTATTTTATAATGTCTAATGGAGCTGAACATTATTTTTGTTTAGATGCATTTAAACTGTCAAATTTTATTTCAGATAACAATAAAATTAAATTTTGTTTGATTAAAACCCTGCTAACATGGAAGTACCCAAGAATCATTTGAGGCACATAATGCTTTATGAGTTCAAGAAAGGAAACTCAGCAGCCGAAGCGGCTAGAAACATTCACTCAGTTTATGGAGAGGAATGTGGGAATGAAAGAAAAAAAAATTCAGAGGTGGAGATTTCACTCTTGAAAATGAAGATCGAACCGGACGTCCAGTTGAGTTTAATGAAAAGCTTCTTGAAGCATCCCTTGAAGAAAATTCTGCTTTACCAGTTGAGGAATTGGCAGTGGTTCTCAGTTCAAACCATACAACTGTTCATCGTCATCTTTAACAACTTGGAAAATGGGTGCCTCATGAACTGTCTGAAAACAACCTCAAATCCCGAGTTGACATCTGCTCTTCTCTCCATTCTCGCCAACTTGTTTCACCTTTTTTGGATAGACTTGTGACTGGCGACGAAAAATGGATCTTTTATCGAAATGTTAAGCGTCGTAGAACGTGGCTTGGTAAAGGGGAAGGACCCCAGCCACAGCCGAGGAATAATCCCCTTTGAATTCTTACCACCTATTACAACAATTAATCCTCAAATATACTGTCAGCAATTAGAGCTTTTAAACCAAGATTTGAGGAAAAAAAGACATGCTCTAGTGAATCGAAAAGAGGTGATGTTTCATCAGGACAATGCTTGACCCCACACAGCAAGAATCACGTCACAAAGATCGAAGAACTTGGTTGAGAGAAAATTCCTCATCCACCTTATTCTCCCGATCTTGCTCCTTCAGATTACCATTTGTTTCGTAGCTTACAGAATAATTTGGAAGAAACAGCTTTTGTAACACAGAAAGAGGTTAAAACTGACATTTGTGAGTTCTTTGAATCAAAGCCAAAAGAATATTACAGTAATGGAATTAGTAAGTTTGTTAATAGATGGAAGGAAGTCATAGATAATCAGGGAAAATACATTGTTGATTGAATCTGTAATTAAGTGTAACATTTGGTCACTTGTTTTCTTTATTCAAAATTCGGACAGAACTTATGGGATCTCCTGATATTTCATTTTCAAAGGGTATTAGTATTAAATGTCAAATTAAGAAAAAAAAACATTACAACTGCTGTAACAGTCTATATTTCTGAGATGAGGTATTATGCACACTATTTACATTATCTTGACTACCCCAGGAAGCGAAATAAAGGGTTCAGTTCGACATTCCAACCACCTGAAGAAGACCGGAGCGTACAACGGCCGAAACGTTGTAATAAATATAGCGACAAAGATGGGGATTGCAACTGCTATAGAGCAATATTATTTCGTAATTTTCATAAGCGGGGGAAATTGCGGACGTAAGGGAAAGAAAAAAATTCGCGGCAAACATTTCAGTAAAAAGTAAAAAATTTTAAAAAAATACTAAGAAATAAAAAAGGTCTATAAATGCAGGTAGCTAAATTAAAATTTCTACACTTGCCCTGATAATATCTCTCAAGGGATGAAACGATTTAGTACATAAGGGTTTCTTGTTTATATTGGGTTGAAAGAACAGTCCGTGGCTGTTGAATACATAATTTCGTTTCACACGTGACTAAAATTTGACATCTATACACATTCTAAAAGTTGACATTACAACGTAGCTTTCCGATAGAATTAATTCAAGTGTGAATTATGAATTTTAGATGATTTTGCATTAAAAGTGAAAATGAAAGAAAATACGGCACCTTTTTGTAATTTGATATTCTTTTGTTTCTAAAAAAGAAAAATGACAATAAAAACAGCAAAAATATGTGAAAATCATGGAAATGAGTCGATTCGTAAGTCTTTTTCAATGTTAAGTAGAATTTTTTTTTTTGTCTCGAAGACCAAGAAAGTTCCGACAATCCTGCAATTATTGTTGACCAAATCGAAACGTTGATTAAAAACAATCCTGGTCCTTCGACGCGTGACATCGTAAATATGGCCAACACATCTCATATGAGTGTTGTAAGGGATTTGAAAAAAAACTTGACTACGTTTATCGCTCCGATGTTTGGGTATCTCACGATTTAATAGACCGCAATTCCATCTGCGATTCTCTGCTCAAACGCAACAACAGTGACCCTTTTTTAGAAAAGAACGATCACAAGCGATGGAAAATAGATTGTTTACAACAATGTGAAGCGGAAAATGTCATGAGGTGGAACGATAAGCGCCACCGTTAACCACTCTAAAGACAGGTTTGCAGCCAAAGATGATGCTGTTTATGCAGTGGGATCTGAAGAGCCTTGTGCATTACAAGCTCCTTACGCAAGCTCAGACTTTGAATTAAGACAAGTACTATTCCTAACTTGACTAATTAAAGACAGCAGTCGATGAAAAGCAAAAGAATTGACCAATCACAAAAATATCGTCTTTCATCAGGATAACGCCAAACTTCATGTTCATTCGCAGACTCGCAGAAATTGGTACAGCTTGACAAGAGGATGTTTCACTACACCCATCGCCCTCACCTAAACCTGTCCTTTTGTATTACCATTTATTTCAATCTCTCCAAAATTTTCTTAATAGGCACAACGTCAATTCTTTTGAAATTTATAAAAAAAATCAAAAAAACACTTAGACCAGTTCATCACACAGAAATATACCAAGTTCTTGGATGATGGAATCATGAAGCTGCCTCAAAGATGGTGATTGGCAATGAAACAAAATACATAAATGGGTGAATAAATATGTGGACAAATATCTAACTATTGTCTTTGAAATCGACTTAAAAAACTGTATGAAATTTTGTTCCAAACCTATATATATATATATATATATATATATATATATATATATATATATTAAAACTACATGCTTGGCCGCGTACACAATTCCGTAAAATCTACGTTGAAAAAAAACAATACTTAAACATGAAAATAATAAACAAAAACTAAAAATTCTTGAAACTATATGCATAAAACAGTTGAAACCTAACCTGAACAAAATAAACTATGAAATCTCCACAAATATTCTTAAATGCCTATAATTGGTAACAGACGCCATTGGTTTATACCAATGGTTTCCCATACTTAATACTTCTCGTTTTCACTCTCGCGTGGTCATGTGTGACGTCACGAGCGGCGATTTTCGCTTCCGCGTCTCGTATACATGAGTGTCGTTGCTTTGAAATTTTTCATGCAACAAAAACAGACTATCATTATTGTTTTGTCCGTGTATTGTATAATATATTGAAATGTAATTGTCATCTTTGATAATGGCTTATGTAAGCCGAAACCTTAGATAGGATTAAAACATGTATCAATATGGTCGATTGACCTAGGTTAATTAACAACAAAAAGCCAGAATTTAAAAAAAATATTTTGAAAAGAAATTTTGTAAAATCCCCCCCCCCCCGCTTATTAGAGTACAATCTATAGTACTCTAATATGCGGAGGGTATTTTACAAATTTCATAATATTTGTAAATAATCTTTCAATAATACATTTTATTATGGTTTTAAAATGGACATGTTAA